CCCAGCGGCGGCAGCAAGCTGCCGCCTGCCCCCGGCTTGGTGCCCACGAGGGCCCAGGTAGGCTTTCCGATGCTGGAAGAGGCTGCCCCTGCCTTCCCACCGGCGGCACCTGGAGGAAGCGTACAGGCCGGAGGCACCGGGCAGTGACCTGGGAGGGGAGAGGGGTTTGGGGCACAGCCAGCACCCTGAGAGGCCCTGCAGAATCCGGGTCCTCCCCATCACGAGGTCTGCCCCCCTGTCACCTTCCCTCCTCTGTACCTCCATCCCTGTTTCCATCACCGCCACAGGTCCTGACTTTGTAGACATGTCCTCCTCCTTGGGGGTAGTGAGCCCAGGCGGGTGGAGCCCTTCCCCAGGTGACGATAGACGGGTTGGGGACAGGGAGAGGTGAGGATGTCCTCTTCCCCAACTCAGGGCACTGCTAGGCTCTGCCATTTAGAACAAGCAGACTCCCACCTCCTACACCAGAGCCTCCCTGCTGGCCCTTCCTAACCACCTGGTTAGGCAAGAGGCATCTTTCTCCTGCCCCAAGCTCAGACCCTTCCCACCTCTTGTTCTCCCTGCAGACCTAGTGAACTCTCCCCTACCTCAGATCTCCCAAAGGGCCCCTGAGCTCATCCTTGGCAGGCCCAGGGTCTCCATGCTGGGGTACAGGACAGCAGGCCTCCAACTGGGCTGTGGGTGCCTCTGGCCCTCCCTCCTGCTCCCTCTGTCCCTCTGCTGCATTGCTCTTGGGGACAGACTCCGCTGCTGCTGGGAAGCTCAGGCACTGCAGAGGAGCCTCTGCCGCTGCTCAGGAGGGGCTGGGGTGGGGCACTGGAGCTGGCAGGAGGGGCCTGGAGGAGTGTGGAGGGTGGGGTGCACCTGGTCCAGGTTTGCCTGATTGGAGCTGAGGGGCCTTGGCCAGCATAGGGAGGAGATCCTAGCCTGCAAGGAGCAGGGGTTGGTGTGTGCAACCATGGGTATGCCCTGACCCCTCTCCACCTGAGTTCCCTCCCCAGCATCCCCTCACAGCTTGGCTTGGTCCCTTGCTAGGCCCTGGTACCACATCATGGGGCTTCTCCTTCCCCCCGGGCACTTGGGGATCAGAGGTCCTAATGCAGGGGCTGAGGAGGGGTCTTGTGAAGGGGTGGGGCATATGTGATGAGCAGCTGACGTGGCTCTGTTCGTTTCTGCAAACATTAGGTGCACCTCTGCTGAGAGGTGGGCACAGGAGCCCCCACTTTAGTTTCAAGGGACTCTGAGGTGAGAGGGCAGGTCTCTGGGCTGGCAGGAACGGGGCAGGAGAGCACATACACCATGAGCCCCCTGCTCCTTGGAACCCCCTCCCCCTCCCCCCAACCAGGCCATGGGGCTGGCACCTGCCCTGCCTCCTCTCCCGCAGCTGGGCCTGCTGGCCTCAGTTGCCAACTGCTGAGACCTCAGGCGCCCTTCCCAGCCCCTCCAGGCCTGACCCTGCCCTCCTCGACTCTGGGACTGCCCTGTCTAGGCCACATTGCCCCTCCCTTTTCATTTTTCTGCCCCACAGATCCCTGTCAAGGTCTGTCCTTGCTTCCTCTGCCTCCTACACTCTGTTGCCACCACAGTGGGCTCCCAGGACACGGTTCGCAACCCCATGCCATCACACATGGTGTGTCCACAGGCCAGCGTGCCTACACGCATGCCAGCTTGAGACCCAGCCTTCCCCTAGCAACCTTCCCCGTGTCAGAGGGGGCTTGGGCTGGCTGCTCCTCACACGCCCCCATTGCGGGAGCTTGGGGGAGAGGAGGAGACATCTCTAGTCAGCTCTTAATGGGTATCTCAGGGCTCCAAAATTGAGCTCCTGTCTCCCCAAAGCTGTTCCTCCCTTGGTGCCCCTCTTGGAAAACAGCAGCTCTGCCTGCCTGCTTCTCAGGCCGAGACCCTGGAGCCATCCTGGACTCATCTCACACCAACATCCAAACCATCAGCAAAAACTGTTGGCTGGAACATCGCAGTGTTTCCACACTCCAGCCCTTTCTCACTCCTTCCAGCACGAGCACCTCGGGCTGAGCCCTGTCCTCCCTCACCCGGAGGACTGCAGCAGCCTCCTACAGGTTCCTTGCCCTCCTGGTCGTCCTCTAGTCTGCTCTGCCAGACAGCCAGATCACATCCCACCCCGTCGCAAACCCTGCAGTGGCCCCTGCACTCACAGAGAAAGGCAAAGGCCCCACTCTGACCTACAAGGCCCCCCGTGATTTGCATCCTCCCCCTGCCCTCACCCCGCCCCTGTCCTCTCACTCACTTGTTCCTCAGCGATGGCAGCCAAGCTCCTGCCTCAGGGCCTTTGCACTGGCTGTTCCTCTGCCTGGATGCTCCACAGGCTCCCTGCCTCGCCTCTCTCAGGTCTTTGCTCAAATGGCACCTTTTCAAAATGACCTCCTCTGACCATTTTGTATAAAATAGTGTCACTCCTAGCCCCCACTGTCCTTCCCTTCCCCTGCCTGCCTCATTTTTCTCCACAGCCCTTGTCACCTTCTAATACATGTTATTTCCTTATTTAGCTGGTTTCTCACCTATCCAGCCCCTCTAGAATGTCAGCTCTGTGGGGCAGGGAGTTTTCTGTCACTGCTGTAACCCAGAGCTGCACCATGAGAGTCAGGGCTGCGATCTAAAGCCGGGACATCTGCCTCAGTGGCTGGCCTTCAGTGTCTGTGCTGTAACAGGGCCCGGGGCTCAGTCCTCCCAGGGGAAGGCAGTGTCCCCTCCCCAGGCACTTGCTGCATGGGCATTGGGTTGGACAGGACACCTGCACAGATGAGGTCCATGCCTCTTCCTGTTCTCTGCTCCCACTGTGACCAGAACAGCTTCACCCGGCCAGCCGGGCAGGGGAAGAGAGCGATCCACGTGTCCTACTCCAAGTGCCGCTGAGGGCAAGGGGCTGCCAGGCCCTTCTTTCTGGTCAGAATTCATCACTGAGTTCTAGGTCAGAAGCATGCTGTGCCCCACCAGGGGCATCACCCACAGGGCAGGCAGGCCTGGCCCCTGCTCTCCAGGTGGCTGGGCTGAGTGAGCTCAGTACACACAGACGTGACTAGAGGAAAGATGCACCCAGAACAGAGGAAGGGGGCCTGTCCCACCACCAGTTCCAACTCCGGCCTCCCCGTCAGTGTGTGGCTCATTTTGGACCCCCCCAGAAGCCACTCCTGAGACAAGGATGTGATTAGAGCAATTCATTTGGGAGGTGGTTCCTGGGACCACTGGGAGAGGGCAAGCGAGACAGAGGGGACAGGCAGCCTAAAGGGTGTTCTTTT